GAGTGCTACTTACTGGCTTGTTCTCCCGAGGCATGCTCAACCTGCTTTCTTATACCATCCAGGACCATCTTCCCATGGGTGAGCTGGGCCTACTCATACCAATCAATAATCAAGATTCTGTACTACAGACTTGCCTACAGGCAAATCTTCTGGAGACATTTACTCAGTTAAGAATCCCTCTTACCAAATGACTCTAGCTTGTGTCATGTTTACAGAAAGCTAACCAAGACAAACAGCAGGTGCTTTTTAACTGCTGACCCATCTCTCCATCTCCCAAAGTTGAGACTCTTGGCAAAGAACATTGAAGGTTCATAACATTTGCATTGTGGTCTGGGACAGTTCCTAGTGGTCAGTGTTAAATCCACTCAAGCAGAGTGGAACTTCATCATTTTCTATTCCTGTCTCCTGAGTTTTGATTTGGTTTCTCACTTTCTTCATTCCTGAGTTTTGATTTTGAGTCTGTCTTGGTTGCCTGGGTTTGAAAGCCTCAGAGGTATTCAATTTCTCTGTTAGGTTGTTTCCTCCCTTACTTAACTTGGAGAACTTCTGAACAGCCTGGCATGCTTACGACAGCCATTTTTTCTTTCCTTCAGAAACTTGAAGACAACAGTCCTGCAGTCTTTTTGCACTCGCTGAGTATTTCTATGGAAAGTTTCTAGGAGTAGTCTGATGTGTGTGTGCTGTGTGACTTGTTTTATTACTTAATTGCCCATATAGTTTTTTTTTTTTTTTTTTTTTTTTTTTTTTTTCCCCTTTTTTTTTTTTTTTTTTTTTTTTTTTTTTTTTTTTTCCCAGGACAGGATTTCTCTGTGTAATAGCCTGACTGTCCTGGAACTAGCTCTGTAGACCAGGCTGGTCTCAAACTTACAGAGATCCACCTGCCTCTTCCTCCCAAATTCTGGGATTAAAGGTGTGTGCCATCACTGCCCAGTGCCCGTATAGTTCTTAATTCTTAAAGTCCAGCAGAAATTTTCCCAGTTGTGTGTCTGAGTCTCAGTATGCCTCTCCTACAACTCAGTAACCTTCACTCCAAACTCACAGTATGTAGCAGAAGAAAAATAGAGACCAGGAACACCAGGCACACAGTCTTTATCAAAGATATCTGGTGGTTATGGATAAAAATTAAAAGTAGTAAAACTAAGGCCTTTGCTGTTTGTGTGAAAAGCTTCCTGGAGATACTCAAGCAGTGCTTGATTTCTTAAAATGCAGGACAAGCACCATCCCAGGCATGGGGAGGCATTGCGTTCCTTTCTAATTCTGGATGAACAGCAGCCATTTGATACTTTGCTCCTTAAGTATCATGAAATATGTCTAGAATTTCCTTTGCAGGATTATTTTCTCTGTGACATTGTTGGCCTTTCTGTCACTACCAGTTTCTTAAGTTACATCAGTAATATGCCAATATTTCATATAATTGGGAAAGAATGAATTCTTTAAAATGTAGACTTTAGAAAATTAGCCTTTGAGAGAACAATAGTGTTAAACATTAGAAACAAAATAGAT